AATATAACAAACCTTATAATAGGTGTTTTTTTCGGTGGTCTATCCAAATACGAATATTCTAACTTTTACTTTGAAAAATTTCATCTTCTCCAGTTCCTGGTAGAAAGTGTAATGAACGGTCTACATGACTGACCTTAAAAGGTATTGAATATTGGTTGACGAGGCATCATCGTACGTATGCATCTATCATCCGATTGGACGCAATCTGTCAGCCGTGATTGGTCACAGGTGGCACGTGATTAATTACTCTGATGACCAACTCATGGCCACGTGATTGACTTCGATCGTTTGATTGGCTCCGGGTAGATTTGGCAGAACGTAGCCATTAGACCATTGGAACTATATAAATTAAATCAACTTCCATCATTGCTTAACATATTGTGAATAACTACCTTGCTATTTCTTCTATCTGCTTATGTTGTTGCTTATTTGTTTAATGTATATGTTTATTCAATGCTCTTTTTTCTTAATTGTTCATTTTCTTTTTGATAATTCTGTTACCTACTCTACTACAATTATTGTAAATAGTTTCACGCGCAATTATCCAGATCGGATATAGCGTGTCTTATTTGCAACTGGTAATAAAATTGGAACTATATAGACGATTTTTGACAATTAAAATAATTTTATTGACATCTTGTCAATACATGCAAAAGTTCACAGTTTTCACTATTTTAAAATGATAATTATATATATATGTATCATACTATGTACAATGAATATGGCGTCTCTGCCATCGCTGCAGAGTTTGGTGGAGAATCGCCAGTCAATATCAAAATATAAATTTAAAACCTTGAAAAATAATTTTGATTTTAAACTCTAGACAAATAAAAATGATAAAATATAGTGTGTGTAGCAACAATAACACACAAAAAAAACCTTTATTAGAGACTTGCCTCATACAGATTCTCTCAATTGGGTAAGGTAATAATCATCTTGTGTTATTTACATAGAAATTGAACTGGCTTTACTCTTCGTCTCAAAGTCATTCACTTGTTGACTGGTCCTTACATAATGATGATCTAAAAAATTTATAGTAAGCTATTGCCTTAGATTTGTTTGCTGATATTTTTGAAAGCAATACGTAGGGTGAAGTGTTGGTATATTTAATTTGTTGATATAGGGCCTTCCTCTCTGCATCAAGGGCTGTATAATTAAGCAGGTAATGGGGGACTTCTTCAGTAATTTCCTTGACACACATTGTACATATTAGGTTTTTGGCCTCAAACGTCAGAACGTGTTTTTTTAAGACTGTAAATAGTATTCTCGATTGAGCTATACATCGTTTAACTGGTAAAGGGAAATCATCGGTTAAGTAGCATTCTGTTTCTATTGAGGTATGGAAATTTTTATAATGTGGACAAAGTTTGTGTGGCAACAATAAAAAAAGAAGAAAATCTGAAATTCGAAATAAGAATTTTATCACCTCGATGCGGACAATCATTATCACTTTATTATCTCAACCCTGATTGGCTAGCTAAGGTCATGTGACAGTTGATAAACAAATCATCGTGCGAATAAATCGAACACTATTTCTATCTAAATATTATAACGTAATTAAGATGTCTATCATAGTAGATGACTTTGGCTGTCTTTCTTTTTTGAGATGTTGAACTCTAGAACGTTATCGTACAAATCTCTTCTTGTCTATTGTCTAGATTATCCGAAGTTTTAGAAGATTTTCAGAATATTGTAAACAATTTCCAATTAAAAATAGTCTATTGACATCTAGTCAACAGTCAAAAAGAGATTTTGCAGAGTTTTAAATAAAAAGAGAAATATGTACAACAGACGAAGCCTTCTCTGAAGGGACGTCTGGATCCTATCAGGAGCTTAAAGCCGTCTTGAGTTCAGACAGGCCCTTGCCAATTCTGGATTTCTTGTCCCCAACATGCTCGATGACAATGTTGAGGAATTTAGAGAGAATAATCTTGTTTTCAGGCGAGAGTCGCTCGAGGAGATAATTCCTATCATTGCGGTATAGAACCGCGAACATGATATTTCTCCTGATTATATTTTCCTCATATAGGAGTCTTTCAGAATATTGTAGAGAGGACACTATGTAACTTGACAGCGATACGTTGGTTGTCTTTCTTCTTTGAGATGTTGAACTCTAGAACGCTATTGTACAAATCTCTTCTTGTCTATTGTCTAAATTATCCGAAGTTTTAGAAGATTTTCAGAATATTGTAGAGAGAGATAGCTCTATGTAACTTGACAGCTATACGTTGGCTGTCTTTCTTTTTTTTGAGATGTTGAACTCTAGAACGTTATCGGACAAATCTCATCTTGTCTATTGTCTAGATTATCCGAAGTTTTAGAAGATTTTCAGAATATTGTAGAGATAGCACTATGTAACTTGACAGAGATACGTTGGCTGTCTTTCTTTTTTTGAGATGTTGAACTCTAGAACGTTATCGGACAAATCTCATCTTGTCTATTGTCTAGATTATCCGAAGTTTTAGAAGATTTTCAGAATATTGTAGAGATAGCACTATGTAACTTGACAGAGATACGTTAGCTGTCTTTCTTTTTTTGAGATGTAGAACTCTAGAACACTATGGTACAAATCTGTTGTTTTGTTGCTTATTCCTCAAGTCGTTTAAACAATCTCCATTAGGTTCCATCGTCTCATCTTTTCTATTATAGTCCTGGGGTTTTCCCAGAAGTCTTTTTTGGAGGATTTGATACAATTCAGTAGACAATTTTTTTTTTTAGATAATTAAAATAATTTTATTGACATCTTGTCAATACATGCAAAGTGCACAGTCTGCACTATTTAAAAAAAAAGATAATATGGATTATATACACTATGTACAATGAATATGGCGCCTCTGCCAGCGCTGCAGAGTTTGGTGGAGAATCGCCAGCGGGTCTTCAGCGACACCACGCATTTCGCAATCTACGAAGAATACGTAGATCGCGTACTTCGCCGCTGAGGAGATGGTGATGGTGTGGTCTTCGAGTACAATTCAGTATATGTTCAGGACTGGCTGGTTGGGAATCTCATTTGGAGCATTTCGGGAATGTTTTGATTTTTCCATTTAATTTGAGTATTCTAAGATGTCCTGTTCGTAATCCATGTACGTATCTCTTCTTTCCTGTTGTCTAGAATACCCGAAGTTTTACATTTTCAGAATATTGTAGAGATTGATATTTATAAATATTTTATTGACCTCATACACAAGTCAATGGTAGTAGTATATGATAATTATAAAAAGAGGGATAAAATAAAAGAGGGATAAAATAAAGGAGTAAACTATATACATATAAATGACTGCGGCGTATAATTATAAAGCTATACAACCAGTTTTTAACCGCATAAGTTTCTTTTTATTTATGAAAAATCATTTTTAATTTCAAAGAGAAATAATTTAATATTTCTAACTTTTGGATGACGTATGAAAAGGTTGAATATATGAAGAGTGATGGTCTATATATGAATGGATGACGTATGGAGGGTGAAAAATATGAAGAGTAATGGCGAACGGAAAAATATTTTTATTTTTCCGTTCGCCATTACTCTTCATATTTTTCACCCTCCATACGTCATCCATTCATATATAGACCATCACTCTTCATATATTCAACCTTTTCATACGTCATCCAAAAGTTAGAAATATTAAATTATTTCTCTTTGAAATTAAAAATGATTTTTCATAAATAAAAAGAAACTTATGCGGTTAAAAACTGGTTGTATAGCTTTATAAAACTATATACAGTTAGGTAAAGTCCAGGAGACAACGACAAAGAGTCCTCCTCCAGACAGTAAGTCATGTTCTCCCCCCATCTCAAGGCTCAGAAAGAACCTGTGAGATTGATGAATTGGCAGACACGGCCTTGTCATCCAGCCCTTGACCGAAGAGCCAGTATCCCTGCAGGTCGGGTGGTTGCTGTATGATGTTAAAGACCTCCCGTATGAGGGGCCTGATGGAGCAGCAGAACCAGTAGCGGTGGGCCAAGTCAGATCACTAGAGCCACAGGCGATACAGGTCTCTCGAGCAGAGGCCGGATGTGCAGGATGGGGAAGAGCGTGCAGCTGTACTGCAATGTCGGCATTGTGCCCTGAAAAGGCGCAACGTCGAAGCGATGGCCAGCCGACGGTGAGAGGAATATTGACAAAGTCTTGCCAACGGTACAGATGCTGGGCGATGGGCGAGAGAGAGAGATAGAGAATTATGCAAATTGAAAGCAATACATACCCATAAGAGAATAACATTCAAAGATAACCAATAAGCTACAAAAAACCACAATTCAAATATCACAAACCAATAGGATTTATAGAAACCAACTTTTTCTCAGACATGACAAAATGTTGCTCAATCGTATTTATGGCAATATATTCGCATAATGGTTGTCTGTCCATTTTCACTCCATCTCGTATGCAATCGTTCTTCATTTGCATATCCATTTAGCATGCGCAGGCGCACATTCATAAATCTTCATGTGCGCTACACGTGTCACATTAGATACTCGGTGATCTGACGACGCCCCTCTCGGCACATTATCTCCTACTTGCCAATAAGTGATTCCCTTACCCACATCATTCCTTACCTCATTAATTACGGAAATGTGTTAATTATATATATAAAAATAGACACTTCGGCCAGTTGGCGTTTTTTATTTTTGGAGGTTTGCAAACCTCAGAACAATTTTTAACGCCTTGCCAAATGCTTTATTTTTATTTACTTCTCCTGACGAAGACAAAAGATGTTTGTCGAAACGTTGAGAAAAATAAAAAACTCTAACTGGCCGAAGTGTCTATCTCTATATATATAAAAGTCAATTCCTGTCTGTCTGTCTGTTTCGCGATAAACTCAAAAACTACTGAACCAATTGGTTCCAAATTTTGCATGTCGCTTTTTATAAACCTGAGGAAAATTTTTGGTTACATTTTGCTTATTATTTTTGGCTATTTCTTTTTTTAATTTGAAGAACTATTTTTTTACGCGGACTAATCCGGAATGGAATGAATACCCAAATATGGCCATTTTGTATACGCATCGATGGCTCAGTGGTAGAATGCTCGCCTGCCACGCGGGCGGCCCCGGGTTCGATTCCCGGCCGATGCATTTTTTTTAAACAATTTTTAAAACTCATTTATATTATATCTTCTATATATATATATAAATGAATGTTTGTATGTTTGTTTGTTGGTTTGTATGTCCGGTATACAAATTCGCAGTAGTTCACTAATTCAAACCAAAATTTCCATACATAGGTAAAAAAATACGAGGAAAACGATAGGCTATTTTAAATTATATATAAATTAAATATTAAAACTATATATTCAAATTATTCTACTTAGCTCACGAACAGCGCCCTCTATCAAGGTTATAAATACGTTTAAAATCGAAATCTTCTCAAAATTTTATTAATAATAGTTCGCTTAATAATTAGAATACTTGATCTAAATCGAAATATTTATAGACGCTCGCTCGATTTGAAGATTTATATCGTAACTAATCTGACTGTAAAGTTTGGAGCGGGACGTTTCACAAGAGTGACATCCACGGCGCCAATTTATAATTGTAACGAATAGTGTTTGAATAAAACATTTAATCGGGTAAACCCGGGCGTTGCCCGGGTCATTCGTCTAATTTTTATATAAATATGAATGCCGGCCAGGCAGCCTCTATCTTCACGATGTGTTAATTATGAAGTATGTTTCCATTGATGCTCGTTAACGAAGCTCGTTGCTCCAATAGAGATAAAATTCTAAATATATATTTCGACAAATATTTCTAAAAACTTTCTAATTTCAATTTTGCCAGGTAATGCTTATGATTTTTTTTTTTGCTTATCTCTACTACACATGGTTATAGCCATGAAAATCATGGTGGGTAGTTAGCGACTGCCTTTTACTGTAAGTACACCACATATCTACACATGTGAAAAGCAGTTCGACTTTGCACTTACAAATTTAAAGAGCCTCGTTTGGTTACTTACACTTACTGATGGGGTTGGACTTTTACAATAATCGGGAGCCATTGGAGCATTTCTTTTTACGCGTACACGTGGTACAGGCCATTATAATTATGGTGGGTAGTTAGCGACTGCCTTTTACTGTAAGTGTACCACATATATCTACACATGTGAAAGGCAGTTCGACTTTGCACTCACAAATTTACAGAGCCTCGTTTGGTTACTTGCACTTACTGGTGGGGTTGTACTTTTACAAGAATCGGGGGCCATTGGAGCATATATATTTTTTTATCAGAAAAATTTTGACCAATACGGTAATCGAACTTTTGGGATAACCTTATAAATGAACCTGTTTTGAAAGTGAGTTTTCCCTTCTACAAAGAACAACGACAAGGCTGTATTTCTATTAAATAAACCTGTTTTAGGATAGAGATTATCCTTTTTACAAAGGTAGCAAGGACAAGACTATACTTGTATTAAATTGAAAGGTAGATAGGTAGATATGCAATTAGGTTTTGACACGTTAAGTGAATTTGCCCTTGAGGCAGCTCAGCTAACTAACTGTGGAGGGTATTATCAATCAGAGAAGAAGAAGACGAGAGAACCAGCCAATAAGATTAAAGTAGGGCGAGAGAGAGAGAGAGAAAGAGAACTAAATGGCACTCCCTACTTTCCCTTAATGGAGAAGACGTTTACTTCGTTAAAAAGATTTAGAAATGCTCTAAAGAAATGTGGACAGATCTTGTTTATAGGCTGAGGAGTTGTGGAATTAAAATGATGTGGAATTCCCTCTCTCTCTCTCTTCTGAATTGGATTGACGACTTCTTTAAATATGGTCTCTCATTTATATTGAGCGTGTGTTCTTCAATACCTATCTAGAGCTTAACTAGAGACAATTGAAGTATCTTACTTTATTTTTCGTAGAGAATAAAAGTATCTTTAAAAATCATTAATAAAATTGTGGTCTTTAATGAAGATAGGTCTTTAATGAGGTAATAATTATCTTTATATTGTATTTTTAACACCGAGTTTTCCATCTTAACTTTTGTGTGCCCATCTGCTGATTGGCACACAACGCAAACAAATAAACACGCACAAAACACCCGATACAACACACAACGCAAACAGTACACACAAACATCTGAAATATTATGTTGATTTTTAGACATTGCAAGACATTTCTTTCTTTTGTACACAGTTATCTGTTCTCGTTTTTCTCTCTCTTTCTCATTGTTAATATCATATGACTATTCTTTACGGCTTAAAATTATTGTTGCTGTTGTCGTGTCCAATGAAGAGCCTCAGATGTCTCCATACATCTCTATCACAGCAGTCATGATGTCCTCTATCTTGGGTGTGTATACTGTATTGTTGTTGTCGTGTCCAACGAAGAGCCTCAGATATCTCCATACATCTCTATCACAGCAGTTGTAATGTCTATTATCTTGGGTGTGTAAAGCTGCTGCTCTGGGTCTGAGTCAATTTTCTGCAAGGCTGCGGCCATTGCTGGACATGAGAATATGTGGGTAGGTGTTAGTTCCACACCAGGACAGTTGTTGCGTGTCCTATAGGTTCTTGTGCCATCTGCTTAAAATTATTATATATATATATATGTATAGAAAAATGTAAAGGCATACATGTATGACAGCGTAAGTGTCCCTAGGGGGACATAGCGCTTTAAATTGAAATAAATAAAATGAAATTTTTTAAAATATATTTTTTACTTGTAAGATAATTCTAAGAACGAAATGTAATATCAATGAATTTCGAATCACTTAGAAACCTGGAAGATATAATCGTTCTTTTATCATTCGGCTTGATACTAGTTGAATGGCGCTCAGCCATAGCCGTTCTAAGACAACACTGAAGAATTCTCGAACACAGACGAATGTGAAACATCCTGAATCTTAGAAAGGAAGAGCAAGAGAACTACTTTAACACCATTGTTGAAAATTTCCTTAAATATCTAACTGGAGAAAACATCTTTACGCCATCTTTTCTCCAATAGAAATAATGGAATTTGACTTTTTCGATTTACGAAGACAACTGTTACAACTAAAGACCAAAGTACTTGTCCTTGAAGATCGACTGGACAAGTTGGGAAAGGAAAAAGATTCTCTTCTAGAACACAATACCGTTAAGAAATGGTATCCAAAACTCAGTAAAGAAGTTGAAAACAAATATAACGGAAGCGATAATTGATTTTGGACATCTCATTAGATATTTGGAAGCTAAACTAAGCGATAAAAGCCATCAAGAATAAATAAATGATCATAATAGTGTGAAAGTTTTCGTCTTTGATAAAATTCTACATCAATGAGGAAGCTAAACAAAGTGAAAACCATCCTTTATAAAGGATAAATTCAACAATGATTGAAATGATCAGACAACTTGGAAAGCGTTATTAGAAATTATATACTTTCAAAGTTTCTTGTTCTTTCTTATTGTAGATCTCTGTGGCTTTTTCACTTGAAGAGTTCAGGCGGCCATAAATTTCGACAATGGCTCAATCCTTTGTGCTTCATCTTGATCATTCCATCATCCAAAGTTTGGGACTCCCAACTTCAAGGACATATTTAGGTTGGAACAAGGCCGTTTCCCCCATTACCAATTTCTTCAGAAGCATCACTTCAAACTGACAATATCTGAATGATTTATTCAGTATTTCACCTATAAAAGATATTATCTTTGACTTGTAAGGGCCAATTTGTATCGAATTTTCTTAATTTTAAAATTTTATTACAGTAAAACTTCCATGAGAGGACACCCGCGCTAGAGAACATCTTTCTATAAAGGGCAAGTTTTCATGTGCTGAATTATTATTTTTACTTTTTAGCAACTCTCCGGTAAAAGGATACCTCTCCCTAAAGGACACTTTGGCTCTGCAATTAGGTGTTGTCCTTTACAGGGAGGTTCTACTGTATTTATCAACTCTCCGGTAAAAGGATACCTCTCCCTAAAGGAAACTTTGGCTCTGCAATTAGGTGTCTTATACAGGGAGGTTCTACTGTATTTAGCAACTCTCCGGTAAGAGGACACCTCTCTCTAAAGGACACTTTGGCTCTGCAATTAGGTGTTGTCCTTTACAGGGAGGTTCTACTGTATTTATCAACTCTCCGGTAAAAGGAAACCTCTCCCTAAAGGACACTTTGGCTCTACAATTAGGAGTGGTCCTTTACAGGGAGGTTCTACTGTATATATTTTACCGCACATACATATTTTGATGTGAAGTCAATAAAGTGTTTATGAAAAGAGATTTAAAGCATGAATAATTCAGACTCGTGAAAAGCCAGACAAATTGTCAAATAATTTTGAAGATTTTATCATAGGAAGTAAATAGGCAATAATTTTTCAACAAAATCAGCTAAAAAAAAACAAAGGTGAAGAAAAATTAGTAATAACAATTTTCTTTATTAAAACGAGTACTTTTGACGTGCTTTCGAGTATTTTTTATAGGTATAGAAGTAAAAAGAGATGACATAGAAACTATTTAAATGTCACATAAAAGATTAGGAGAGTCAAATCTCAGAATGTCTCGTCTTTAAGGACATTGTCTTCTTGGCGGAAGGTCTTAGTTTGACAATGGAAATTGATTCCTGGATTCTGTCGCTGAAATAAAGTCTACACCACTCAATATCTGTTCGGCAATCTGCAGGTTGTTTTTCTTTATCTCTCAGAAGAGTTTTTAAATCTTATTGCTACTGGAAATAATTTGACGCAATTCAGTCAAGAATTCCCTCGGAATCTTTCTTGAAAAATTTCCCGTGTAGATGTTTGCGTTTTTTTTTTTTTTTTTGCGACGTGAAGGACGTCTTTGTCTCGTCTTTAAGGACAATGTCTTCTTGGCGGAATGTCTTAGTTTAACAATGGAAATGGATTCCTGGATTCTGTCACTGAAATAATGTCCACACCACTCAATGTCTGTTCGGCGATCTTCAGGTTGTTTTTCCTAATCTACCCAGCATCTCCATCAAAATGCCACGTAGTAAATTAGTAGAGACAAATCTTAGAATAATACGCAAATTATTCTAATGTAAAACAAGTTAAAATTTATACAAATGAAAACTTTTGACAAAAAAAAATATACCTTTCAGAAGATGATCTTCCATTGTATTATACAATACAATGTTTGATAATATAAAAGGTT